CTCACGTTAAGCCACATTCAAACCCGCTCAGCATGGGAGGAAACCCAGGCCCACACCGGTGAGGGGAGTCGTCCATGTTCAAGTCTCAGAGCTAAGCTAGGCCAAAGCCCAGGCTGGTGGCAGAGTCTCAGTCATCTCCCAGGTAATCCAGGAACGTGGTCTCCCCCCACACCCCTGCTCCAGTCCTCGAGCTGAGGAGGGCGTGGCAGAGGCTGGGAGTACAGATATAATTACAGTTCCTGCAGATGCGCCTGCTAGGGAGGACAAAGGGCTCCTCTCACCAGGAGCCGGAGATGCAAATTAAAACAACAGCACAATACCTGTTTCCATCGGCTGAAATTAATACAGCTTTTTGTTTTGCTGTGTTTTGTTCTCTTAAAGACAGCTGCGGTGTTGATGAGAAGTGAAATCCGGGCTCTGTGGATGGGGAGGGGGGTAAGAGCAACTTTCTCGGAAGGCCACTGGGCATCAAGAGCTTTAAAAACCTGCGGACCTTTTTACCCCATTTGCCTCCTTTCGGGGACTGGCTGGCTCTAAGACTCAACCAGAGATGTTTAAAAAAATAAATAAAAGAGAGCCAAGTATAAGGATATTCAGTGCTGTTATTTATAACTGTGGAAAAATTATAGCTGACGAAAATGTCTAGTGGTGGAGGGTTGGTTGGTTAAATAAATTATGATCCATCCATATAGAAGAATATGTGCAAACATTAAAAGTCATGTTCTTGGAGAATCTCTAATCACCTGGGGCGGGGAATGCTCGCTGTGTGAGAAAAACAAAGCAAGAAACAAAACTGCATGAAGGAAGGACGCCGGTTCCACGTAGAAAACAGGTAATCAGTGTGTGGAGAGTCTGTGAGAAATCAGCTCCGCTCATCTGAAAGGATTAGGGTGATTTCTTTGTCCCAACCCCTACTTTTATCTTTCCTCCAAATTGTCCACAGGTGGTCGGGGAAATGTTATTAGCAATGCACGCAGGCTAGGGAGATGGTGGCCAAAAATGCTCGTGGTGCAAACAGGAAAGTTTGAGTTCGAGACCCAAGAATGCACTGTAAAAAGCTTGGTATAGTGGTGCATGTATGTATTCTCAAAAGAAGGGAAGCAGAGGCCGGGGAACGCCTGGGGCTTGCTGGTCAGGCAGCCTGCCACGTCAGGAGAGACTCTGTCTCAAAAAATAAGGTAGGAAAACAAAATAAAATTAGAAGAAAAAAAAATACACTGGCCTACACACACACACACACACACACACACACACACACTGCACACACATACACTCACTGCAGACACACACACACACACATACACACACATACACACACACACACACACACACATACACACACACCCTTGACCAGGTCTAGAATCTCAGCTACTCAGGAGGCTGAAATAGGATTCAAAGTGCAAGCCCTGTCTAGGTTACAGGGAGACTTCAAGACCAAGTTGGGCAATTTAGGAAAACTATATCTCAAAATAAAAATTAAAAAAAAAAAAAAAAAGACTGGAGCTACAGCTCAGTGACAGAGTGTACAAGGCCCTAGGTTCAATCCCCATAAAGAGAGAGACAGAGAGGCACAGATCGTATATGGAGAGAGGGCGCCAGTCTGTCAGGAAACCACAAGGTACCCATCTTGGGAACAGGGGCCGTCTACCCTGAGTCCCAAAGTGAGGAGCTTTGACCAGCACTGGAAGGTTCAGGGTTGCAGGCAAGAACGTCAAGAGCAAAGGCACAGAGACCAGAGACGTCCCGACCACTCCTGGGAGCTCTCAGTAGCTCAAGCTACACGAAGTTGGGAGAAGAATGTAGAGTGGGGAGCCCGAAGGCCAGGCTGAAGAGGTGCCTTTGACTTTGAGTAGAACGTCGTCCAGTGTGGACGGGTCTTGCAGGGAGGTGAAAGAAGGCAGAAAGAAGGCAGAGAGGGAGAGACAGGGTGTGGCAACACAGGAAGCCTCTACACCGGCAGGTTATCCTGAAGAGGCTGTCACGTGGCCTGGGTGAGAGTGGGGTGGACTCGGTCTGGCCGTGGTGGCTGAGAGGAGAACGGGAGGGCCCTCTGGAACACTGATTACAGCAGATTTGTCAGGACTTGGTGATTGATGGGAGAGGGGAGGTGGGCTGGGGGAGGGGAGCTGTGCCGCTGACTGACGGTAGCACACGCTTGCACACGGACACACGCAAGCATGCATGCACACATGCACTCCCTCCCAGGTGTAGTCTGCACACTTGGACACTTATCCCCCTCTGTTGCTCCCCTATGGGGAAGACTGGAGTTTAGGTGGCATTTGATAGGAGGTCCTAGGAGAAGTTCGTCCCGTCACCACCATGTCCTGCTGGCCTCTGGCATACTCTAGGTACCTCTGTAGTACTGGTTCTTCTACACTGCCAGCCTACAACCCCAGAAGGCGAGGGACAGGGCCGGGACATTCTCAGGAAGCCATGGCCGGGTCCCTCCCTCACACACGGGTGCAGAACCATAGAGATAAAACAATCATCCCCAGGGACTTTGACAATCGAGTCACAGGCTTTGATGTACACCCAGGGAAAAGCCCAACAGAGGCCACACACCCCACTGCCACACAGCCTCCACACGAGCAGATCCAGCCTAGGTCTCACACACAGGCCATTGTGCTCCGTCAGAGTTCCCAAGGTCCTCCCGCCTGCCCCACCCCCGCCCCACACCTGCTCCCCCCACCGAGGAAGCCCGGACAGAGGGTTGGCTGGCAGAGGGGCCAGCACAGGGGGACTGGCACCGAGACCTGCAGCCAAACGGGGCAGCCCAGCCAGGAGGGAGGCCTCTGAGAAGGGTTGCCACGGCAACAGGCTCCCACAGAACCAACCAGAGGCTTCAATCCTCGGCTCTTATTTTTAGAAGTTGGGCCTGGACTGGTTGGGCCTGCCAGGGGCCAGGTTCCCACAGGCACTGACACCAGCCAGAACCTCCAAGGGCTCTGGTAGGCACTGCCCACCACATTGGGCTCCTTCCCCCGGGTCATGCCCAGGGGAGGAGTCTCTTGCTTACCTGTCTTCACCCTGACTAGTGGCCTTCTATCAGGGGTATCTTTCACCCTCTAGTCCCAGAGAAGGGACACAGCCTGATGACCCATTGCACCATAGCCTGTGGATGGCTGTGGCTTAATTTATTGTGTGTCAGGAGAGGGAAGGGGCAGGGACTTGGGCTGATTTATAAAGTACAGTGGGCAAGACTGTGTGTGTAATTGGGTCTGAATGAGTGTATTTGTGTGTACTTAGGGACTCTTCTACTCGGTGTGTGTGTGTGTGTGTGTGTGTGTGTGAGAGAGAGAGAGAGAGAGAGAGAGAGAGAGAGAGAGAGAAATTCCCTCGTCTACAAGAAACAAAATTGGGAAACACCACCACTAACTGCCACTCCTGCCATGATCTTGCCCAGACCCTTCCTATATGTCTGAGCAGACGGCTTTCAGAGTAGTGGTTCTCAACATAGGGGTCGTGACCCCCTTAGGGTCAAGTGACCCTTTCGCAGGGTTGCCTAAGACCATCTGAAAACACAGATATTTATTGACGAGTCATAACAGTAGCAAAACTGCAGTTATGAAGTAATAATGGAAATAATTTTATGATGGGGGTGGTCACCACAACATGAGGAATTGTATTAAAGGCTCGCAGCATTAGGAAGATTGAAAACCACTGTTTTAGAGGGTAGACGCATAGAAGGATGGTGGCCCTGGCAGATCCAGGTGGATAAAGCCTGAGAGGGGGGTAATAGGGAAGCTAGAGCAAGCTGACTTTGTGGTGACTCCTCCAGCTGCTGGGGATTTCTCTGTTAATCTGGGACTGCTCTGTTTGCATCTCATTTGCCTACATTTGCATAACAAGGGGCCGTGCTGGCACCAGGGATCGAAATTCCTGGCCTGGGTAATTGTGTGAAAAAAGTCTCTGGAGACTGAGCAGGAATCCTGGGGCCCCAGAAGTAGAGGCAGGGAGTTTTGCCTGTGGACAGAGGCTCTCCAGCTGATCTACCCTGGGAACCCCACTTCCTCCCTAACCCCTGGGGCAGGAGGGGTATGCATGAAGTGGGAGAGCTGATAAGATTAGGAATTAAGTCATCCTTGAGAGATCCACTGTGGCTTCCAGCATGGATCTGGACCCAAAGTATTTTCCTGGGTGCAAGGAGCCTGAACTTGGCAAGGTCTGGGCTGAGATGGGAGAGGGCATGCTCAGCCACGTCTGCCCTCTCCATCCACTCCTGCAGAATGATTGATTCTCTGGCTACATTCTGGACCGATCACTTAGGATCCACCTCCAGGACTCTGAGACCCAGGCAACAGACATCTCTTCCCTGGGTCTCCTACTTTGGATGACCCCACTTTAGCCCTTTTCTGCCAGAGTTAAAGAATTCATAGGTCCACAGGACCAAGGGCTGTGTGACCTGGGACTCCAGCCCTCTTATAGCCTGCACCTCAACCTAGGACCCCAGAATTCCCCACCCGAACAGCCAGAAGCCAGTCACTAGAGCTCGCGAGGCCATCTCCCCTCCTTAAAGAGTGGCTATTGCCAGGAATGGGGACCAGGCAACAAGCTGGAGTACTGAGGTATCCATGGGCATGCACAGGAGGTCTCTGGAGCTGCAGGGCAGGGGAGGAGCTGGAGGGCTAGCTGCCCTCTTTGGAATGCCTTAAACACCCCGGGGTGGCTTTGACAAGCTGTTTGACCTTGGCCAAGTTACTTAACCTCCGTGTGACCACAAACGGGGCTAGTGACAGTGGCTGCCTCTGCAGGTCGTTGTGGGGATGTACTGAGTTAATTCACGAAAAGCACTTAGACCCAGGCCTGGCACCGCGGACCAGGCCTGTCAGCTATTATCCGTCATCCTGGAGTCGGTGCTTTTCCCTCCAGCCGAGGAAGCAGCAGCTTCTCTTTCATTTCAAAAAGACTACGGAAGAAACAGGGTCTGGGACAACCCTACACTCCAGACCACCTCTGCCCAGCATCCAGAAAAGCAGGGGCGCAAAATGTCATGGTCTCTTTAATGTCTTTATTGGCTGAATAAATGAGAAGACAAACAAATGAATGGATGAACAAATGAATGAAAACCAGAGACGAAGTGGAGTCAAAGAAAGAGCAGGCTGGCAGGACTGGGTGGGAGGGTCCGACAGGGAGACGTTTGGCAGGGGATCTGTGGGGTCCTCAGATCTATTTCACCCAGCCATCACTTTCTGTAGACTTCCATTGGATGGTGGTCAGCAGGGGAGCAGCAGGCGACTGTGGTCTCTGCAAGTCAGTCCTGGCTTTGGGAGGTGGCTCTTCCCCCTGGGAGTTAGAGTGTCCTCTAAGCCCTGGGTCCCTTTGTAACCCATAGATCCTGCAAAGGCCTAAGTGTAGGGGGTGGCTCTGAGCTGACGCACTGTCCATCTTGGTGTGGGGCAGGGAGGCTGGGGGAGATGCTGGTGGGCCTAGTTACCTCCTTATTTACACCCCACCCCTTCAGCACAGCCAGGCCTCGGTGCACCTGCCTGTCAGCAGGCAGACTAGCAGTGATGGAGAGCCCTCTTGGGATCCGCCAGCTTCCACCATCTGGCCAGTCTGAGGTTGAGGGAGGTGGGGGAACCTGTCAGAGGGCACCCTCCGCACTCCTAGGCCTAGCCCTAGGCTCGCTTCAGACAACGATGGTGTGTGGGCCTATGGGAGTGATATTGTGTGTGTGTGAGCCTAGGCATGGTGGTAAGGTCCTGGTGCACCTGTGAGGAGCATTTCACATGTCTATATTCATGACTTTCTAAGTTTACATATTGGCCTGTGTCCTTTTACAGTAGGATTTTTTGTGTATGATGGCATGTGTCCCAGACTGGAGACTTGGTGCGGAGATTTTCCTTTGGGGGGAGGGCTATTAGTTCGTGTGTGTGTGTGTGTGTGTGTGTGTGTGTGTGTGTGTGTGTGTGTGCTGGGTGTATATATGCATATGAATGTCAGAGGGCAAGCTTGGGTATTAATTCTCAGAAACTGCTCACTTTGTTGTTTATTTGTTTTTGAAACAAGGCAGGGTCTCTCCCTGGAACAGGAGACTTGCAGAATATGCAAGGTTTGCTGGCCACTGAGGCCAGGATTCCTCCTGGTCCTGACTCTCCCACACTGGAATTACAAGCATATGTCATAACTAGCTTTTCACGTGGGTGCTGAAGGTTGAACTCAGGTCCCCATTGCTGGCACAGCACATATTTGACTAATTGAACTATCTTCCCAGCCTTGGATATTAGTTTTGTTTGTATAATTTTGGCCTTGAACTCACTCTGTAACCTAGGCTGGCCTCGAACTTGCCATCTGTGATGGCTAGTTTTATGTCAGTTTGACACAAGCTAGAGTTATCTGGAAGGAGGGAACCTCAATTGAGAAAATTCCTCCATAGCATCCTGCTGTAGGTCATTTCCTTAATTAGTGATTGAGGGGGGAGGGCGCAGTCCATTATGGGTGGGGCCAGCCCCAGGCTGGTGGTCCTGGGTTCTATAAGAAATCAGGCTGAGCAGGCCATGGGGAGCAAGCCAGTAATAACAACCCCTCTCCATGGCCTCTGCATCAGCTCCCGCCTCCAGGTTCCTGCCCCATTTGAGTTCCTGTCCCGACTTCCTTCAGTGATGGACTATGATATGGAAGCGTAAGCCAAATAAACCCTTTCTCCCCAACTTGCTTTCGGTCATGAGGTTTCATCACAGCAATAGACACCCTAACTAAGACACCATCCTTCTGCCCCCAGAGTCCTAGTCTAGGGGTTTTCCATGGGGAACTCTCTCAGATCAGGAGAAACTGAACCTTCACATCTGTTTCTTTAAAGTGGCTGAAAGGTCCTATGAGGGGATCCGGGCCAGCCAAGGAGCCTACAGCATTCCTAACTCCCCTGAGCTCCACTTCCTGGAGGTGGGCTCTAGCTTCATGGATCCAGAGATCACCAGAGTTCCTGGGTTCCTTACGGCATCCTCCCCTCACACCCACCCACAGAGAAGCAGGTCACATGTAAATCTCCTCTTATGTACAGTGGTATATTATGCAGAACTGTGTATTAGTCAAACACATACACACAGAATCCCAAACCCATCAGACTCAAGCATATGATGAATACATAATCGTGTTTATATCATGACAGACCAATATAGCTTAATATAAATGTAAACATATAGGTGCATGCATATTTACATGTTGGAACATGTCTACAAATTGATAACTTACATACAAGCACACACAGATATGAATGCTTAGAACCATCAGCGTGCATCACTCTGGCATATATATTCATGTGCATTCTGCCCCTTCATGTCCCTTCCTACCCTCCCTCCACTTCTCATAGGCTTTAGCTCTCACCAAGATGATCCCCACGCAAGGTGGGCACCAGAAGACGGCAAACATGGTATGCCAATAGGATCCCATGTGTAGGAAGCTGTGTTTATAATGTCTACATTTAGATCATTATATATTTCATCATCTGTGTAGTTCCAGCTCTGTGTGACATGTGAGTGTCTCAGTGACACTGCGTATTTTCCAGCATGTCTGTGTTTATTTCTGGAAGGACTTCTTTGTGTCTGTGTCTATCCATCTGGGTGAACGTGAGCTTTACGGCTGGAGTGTGTCTGTGTAACTATGTCCTGTGGACCATCCCTCTGTGTGCCTGGATGTATATGCCCATGTGTACATATCTGGGCATTGCCCCGTGTGTCAATGGCTCTGTAGTCCAGACTCTAACTAGCTCAAGTGTCTCCACTGCCAGCAGAGGCTATGGCCAGGGTGGAGCCAGGTGAGACTGGACTGAATTCCCCAGCGGTTGACAGTCGTATTTACAGAGCTCCGAGTAGGACATAATTGCTTCTATTAATCTTTCTCCGGTTGTTAATTGCTCACTTATCGGGTTGTGTATTATGCCGACTGTTGCTCTTAATTCGCCTCCATAGCTGCAGGTGTTTGCTGCCTTATTAACTGTTAATCGGCGCGGCTAGGGACAGAGAGTTAATTGGCCCCTGGAGTGGGACGCAGGCGGGCCAGCCGGGCACTGCCAGGCTCTCAGCCTGTCCCTGGAACTCTCACCTGTGGAGTACAGGTGGCTACCGGGAAAGGGCTGGCCTACTGGCAGCCAAGAGTGGTCCTGTATACAGCAGTCGGAACAACAACTACCAAGTCCCCATACAGTCCTTCCTCCTCCCAGAAGCCAACTGACCAATCAGAGCCAAGCTCCTATGCCTTTCTTCATCACCAACAACCATATTCTACCCAAGACAGGAAGCAATCCCATTTATGTTAATTATGCCTAGTGAGAGCTATCCCCAGCACAGAATGGAACTGGGTTTGCCCTTCAATGCCTCTTCTTCCTCCTTGTGGCTCCAGCAGTCAAGGCTGGTTAAGGTTAGAAGGACATTGGGAGAAAGAAAGGCAAGAAAGAGCCTCTACCAGAACGTGAAGGGCAGAAGTCAGACCCGGGAAGGACTTCCGCCACCTTTCAAGGAGGCAGCTTCCAGGAAGTTCTGTTCCATTCCAACCACACTTCTGCTTGCATAGTCCCAAGAATGGGGAACTCACTCCCTGTACTGATGCTGCGGGGAGGGGGGCGCTTTTCATTCTCCCCCATTTTCCCACGCCCCACGACCGCCCCATGAGACTCCCAAGTATCCTCAGTAGGGAAACTGAGGTCTAAGAAGAACAAGGTAGTAGCCCCAGAGTTCTTCGATCCTCCCTGGTGCAAGCTCAGACAGGCAACTCTCTGAGCAAAGTTCGGGCTCTCCTTTCCTAACTCATCACAGGCACCTCAGTCTGGCCTCCCAGTCAGCTGCTGCCCAGCGGCCACCTTAAGGTCCAGTGCCTGGATAGGAATACAAGGGCTCCTGACCCAGTGAACTCCTTGAGAGCATCGGTGGAGTGGGAGGGCAGGCTCCATGGTACACCAACCTGGCTTGGCCAGTATTTCTCATCCCATGCCTGGAATCCAGCCTGCCCTGACATATGGAAGTTCTTCCTGTCATCTCTGGAGCTGCAAAGGAAGTTCATTTGCTTTAGCTGGGTTCTGAGTGGATGGAACTGGGCTCTAAGGAGGGAGTCGAGGAACAACCATACACTGCCTACCGTCCACCAGAACATCAACGACCATGTGCCGAAGTGGCACCCCGCCAACCCTCACATAACCTAGTGAGTTAGAGATTAGTATGCCTATTTACAGAGAAGGAAACTGAGTCACAGAAAAGGGCACCAACCTAAGATGACACAGCCAGGAAAGGCAGGACTGGGGTCCAACAACTCTCGGTGTTGCTTAGGGAACTGAGTCTTCGGTTGGGATGTTTCTGTAAGGGCATGAGTGGACCAGAACTGATAGTCACTGTCAGAGGTCTCCCACCCACCTCAAATCCCAGAACACGGAGACGCAAAACACTCACGCATGCGCAGTCCAGGTGGCCATCGGACGGGATGAAAGCAAAGCGAGGGGAACTGTCCAGGGATAGTTGCCCAAACAAGTTCCGGCTCCGCCTCTATGTTAATGACATGCAGATATATGTAAATTTGCACACGCAACTGCTTAAACCTTTGGGAGCAATAGGGTGACACGGGAGCAGTTGCTATGGAAATTCAAAAGAGACAATCTCCCCCCACCCCCCCCCGCACCAGCAGGCGCACAGACACGTGTACAAAGGCCCAGGGTTCCTCGCTCTGGAGCCCAGAGGATCACGGAGTAACAGAGGGTGTGAACCGGAAGGAACCCCGGAGACTGCGCCCAGCCTGGGGGTGCCGACGCCGGTCCTGGTTGGGGGCGGGCGGCGTCCGCTAAAACCCTTTGGGCAGCGGGCGACTCCTCCTCGGCCTAGCAACCAGGGCCCCGCCCGGCGTTGCATAGCAACAATCCTAGAACCTAGCAACCGCCGATCACACCCCCTAGCAACGTCATGCCAGGCTGCGTTCCTGGCCCCTATCAAGAGATAAGCAAAGGTCTTGTGAACTAGGAACAGAAGGTTGATGGGGGTCATATGCCCAGCCCCCAGCCCGAGGCAGTATACAGGATTTCGGGATATATATATATATCCCGCTTCCTGGGGCGAGTTGTCAGAAGGCCGCGTTTGCGCCCCCACCTAGGGAAGAGCAAACTGAAGCTCTAAAGGCAGGCCCCAGCGAGGGCAGAGGCTAGCTCTTCCCCGATGCCTCTCCTGTCTCCCCAGGAGAAAGCTGCGGCTGGCCAGGGGGAGGCGTGAGCCGCGGTGTCCCCAAACCCGCTACGTTAGGAAAGCCACCCAAGTTGCAGGCTCCAAGAGGAGCTGCAGGTTTGCATAGTAATTTACAAAATTTGCATTTAGCGCGGAGGCTGCGGCAATCCCATGCCCTCTGAGCCAGAGGAGTTCCCTCAAGAGCCCTGTTCCTTTCCCTGGTTCACCTGTCCAGAACCTTCTCCCTGCTCTCACTCACAACCCACCCTCGCCCACCACCCCCGCTTCCAACCCCTCCCACTTTTCTCTCACCCGCCCCCAGCTCAGCATCCATCGGTCCTGCCAGCCCCGACCTCCATCCCAAGGCAAAGGGCCCCCTCTGCTGTCGGCTGGGGGTAGGGCAGCCGCAGAGCTCTTGGGGTAGCAAGAGGGCTCCTCTTATTAATCATCTCCTCTCCCTTTCCAGTCTAGCAGGCTCCAGAATGAGGCTTGCTTCGGATGCTGCAGCGAAGGGCGGGGTCCTGGGCGAATCAGCCTGGGGCTGCCGGCTCCCAAGTCAGTCCCCAGACTCACGGCTGCTATGAGAAGCTCACTCTAGATCCAAGGCAAGGCAGCAGTGGTCAACCTACATCCCACCTCACCAGGCTTAAATGTCTTCTCAGGCTTAGACCCTGGCTGTCTCTGGGAGTTGTCAGGATCTGCAGAAAGCAGTCCCCTTCAACAGAGACCCCATGCACAAACCTTCAGTCACACGCATGGACCGACAGGCCCTCACAGATGCACATGGACACAAACACTTAGAGAATACTGTGGTATCTTGTGCCATCCCTCGACTTACCCAAAAGAAAAATTGACTTCAGAAACTTAAAATTACTCCTGGAGCTAGAGAGAAGGCCCCAATGGCTAAAAGCCTATCAACCCCTGCATTAGAGGGAGGGGGTAGCAACTAGCTAATTTACAAAGCTCACTGGCCAGCCAGCCAACCTAGCCAAAGGGTGAGCTTCCAGTTCGGTGAGAAATCCTGTCTCACAGCAGTAAGAGGCCGGTGATGGAGGAAGACACCAAAGCCCTGCTCTGACCTCCGTGACTCACAGGTACGCTGGCACACCACAACGAAATGAAGAAAAATAAAGCCACTCCCTTACCTTCCTAACACCTCTACCTCCTCCTGTCCCTCGTCAGTTTCTCTCCTCCAACCCCTGCTGTCTTCTCTCCCTCCACTGATTCTTTCCCTTAATCCAGATTTTGGGTTTTGTTTGTTTGTTTGTTTTGGTTTGTTTGTTTTTGGAGACAGAATTTATAGAATGAATATATATATATATTAGAGCAGCTTACAATCCACGGTCTGTAATGTCCAACAATGTCCACCAATGGAGAGTCCAAGAATCCAGTAGTTGCTCCGTCTACAAGGGGGGTCTGTCTCAGCTGGTCTTCAGTATATGCCAGAATCCTGAAGAAGTTGGCTCCAAGCCAGTGAAGGAATGGACTTGCTAGCAAGAGGAAACAGGCAAAGAGAGCAAGCTCCCTTCTTCCATGTCCTCGCTGTAGGCTGCCAGCAGAGAAGGTGTGGCCCAGATTAAAGGTGGATCTTCCCACCTCAAAGATCCAGATTAGAAATGGGTCTTCCCACTTCAAATGATTTAGTTAAGGGAAAAAAAAACCTCCTCACAGGGTATAGCCAGACATTTGGATTTTAGTTAATTCCAGATGCAGTCAAGTCAAGAATAGCCATCACAGGGTTGGGCAGTGGTGGTGCACGCCTTTAGTCCCAGCACTCAGGAAGCAGTCAGGCTTCTGAGTTCAAGGCCAGACCGGTCTACAGAGCAAATTCCCAGGCAGCCAGGATTACACAAAGAAACCTTGTCTCCAAAACACAAATAAGTAAGTAAGTAAAAATAAAATAATATAGCCATCACAGACAGGATTTCACTGTGTAACACTGTCTAGCCTGGAACTTGCTATGTAGAACAATCTGGCCTCAAACTCTAGAGATCTGCCTGCCTCTGCCTCCGGAGTGCTGGGATTAAATGTGCCCACACTCAACTCAGAGTATTTTTTTAAAATGCCTCCAGAAGCCACAAAGCAAAACCTTTGTCCTGCGGCAAACTGATGGTTCAGAACCCCCCATCAGCAATAGGGGGGGTCATGCACTTGTGGAAAAAAAATTTCAAAGACACCAAGCCACATCTGGATGGGACTAGGGACGCTCCTACACAGCCATCAGATGCAATTCTTATTTTGTCAAGTTTTTATTGAACCAAAAATCACCATCCAACAAGCTGCAGAACGGATACAAACTGGGCGGGTGGGGAAACGCTGACCGGCCTTTCCTCTCACTCAGCATTGAGAGTCAGGGAATGGACACTTCTGTTCCGGTGGGTCCGAAGGGTCAGGCCTCTCCGGCCAAAGACACTCAGAGCCACCTCCATCCATAGGGCCCAGAGAAGGGTCTGGGGTTGGCCCAGGGGGATCCGGAACTGCAGATACCTCAGAGGAGGGGAGGGGAGGCCCCTGGCCTGCGGGCCACAGAAAGGCCTGGAACTGGTGACTCATGGTCACTAAGACCTTGAGGTGCTGGAGTAGGTCTTGGTGGAAACAGGAGGTCCTGTGGAGGTGCTGTCCACGGCCAATGCCGGGGAAAACTGGCCCACCTGAACTGGGATGTCGGGGGTGGCCCCAACTTGCTTCTGGGGACTGCTGCCCCCAGCCAGGTCCCTGCCTCCCCCTGCCTCTGGGGAGGCTCTGCCCAGCACAACCACTCCTTGGAGCCAGGCTGCCCTTGGCCAAGCTCTGTTTGGGGGCCTCCCCTTGGGAAAGTGATCCTCTCGGGGTGGTCTCTGATGCCCTGTCCTCCGGCTGGTAGCATCTCCTCTCCACTCGTTTGCTGAAGGAGGCAGTCTTGGGAACCCTGTTCCCCACAGGGACGGACAGAGCTGTGTCTGGAAGCCCATCCTTAGGGAACAGGACCGCTAGTAACAGGCTCGTGTGAGTGGTTTCAAGACCTGGGAAGAGGAGAAGGAAGGGTCCCAAGACCTGGAGGAAGCCGACATGGGTTCCCTAAAAGCTGCCGTGGGTCTGGAAGTTTGATCATGAGAACTTCCTGACAGTGAGATGGAGAAAAGCGAGCAGGCAAGTGAGCCTGTCTCAGAAAACTTGGTCTAGGTGATCAGGGGTCACCTGGCAGAGGGTAGCACATGGATGGCCTGACCTCAAGGCTGCATGGAGACAGTCTATACCATCCCGGGGGTTGGTGTATCATCTGTCCTTGTGCCGACCACAAAGTGAGGCAACGACTTCTGAATGAATGAAGGGTGAATAGCTGTGGGCTGGGCAGTAGCACTGAGGGAGACCTCGTGAACATAGAAGGTGTGGACCTGGACTAGCTGGCAGCTATGTCCCAAGACAAGCTGGGCTTTTGCCCAGAACCACCTGATGGAGGACACGTCAATCTGCTTCCAATACTGGGAGCTGCAGCCCAGAAAGGTCTTAAGGCCGCTCTTGAGTCCCTAAGGTCCTCTTCCATAGGTGCCTTCCTAGGGCTACGCCTAGGCTGATCCTTGCCCTGAAGCCAGGCCTGGCTAAGGCAGCTGCAGAGTCAGGCCCTTCCCTCCTAACCTTTTCAGTCAGTTGTCTGCATCTGCCTCTGTCCTGCCACCCCGGGGTCACCTGTGGTTGCAATCCTATTCAGGTATACACCGGGTTCTCACCTGGGCCTCCCAGAGGGCGCAGTCGGGCTGGCAGAGGCTGGAAGGCGGGCAGGGGCAGCAGGACCATCTTCGCGTGCTGCACAGTGGCCAGGCAGTGCCGCTGCTTGTTGTTGAGGTAGGAGTAGAGCATGCGGTAGTTCTGGATGTCCCGAGACCCATGGGGACACAGTCGGACCACGCAGATGTCCTGGGATACAACAGGAAGTGGCAAAGGAGCTGTCATCCTCTTGGCCTGCAGGCACACTAAGACTCAACAGGACAGTGGTTCTCAACCTTCCTAATGCTGCCACCCTTTAATACAGTGATCCCCCAACCATAAAATTATTTTTGTTACAGTTTCATAACTGTGATTTTTTGCAACTTAAGTTATGAATCATAGTGTAAATTATCTGATATGCAGGATATCTGATATGGGACCCCTGTGAAAAGGTCGTTTGACCTCCCTGGGGTCGTGACTCACTGGTTGAGAACCACTGTTCTAGGAAGAAGACAGAGGGGGGGATCTTGCCCAGGGTCATTGATGAGCCTAGAATCTAGGTGGGGAGGGAAGGAGATGGGAAGGAGAGGCCAAAAGAGAGGGTACCCTAAAAGCAGGCTGTTTACCTTTGCTCTGGCTGGGCACATGAGGTCTAGAAGATCCCAGAGGTCCTTCGGTCGGAGGCAGCCTGCTGAGCGAATGACCTCCGGCAGAGCCTGGGGGCAGGTGATTGGTCAGCACCCAGCTTCCCACCCTTTTAGACAGTTTCATTTCCCATTACCTCAGGCCAAAGCCTGAGGAGAAGGGCAGGCAGACTCTCAGGGGCTCCCCAGAGAGCTCTAACTGCCCCTGAAGGCCTACAGATTGTTCTGGCCAAAGTCTCACAGGCTCACACTCACTCCCCACCTAACAGTTTAGCCATCAGTCAGTCAGTCAACAATCACTCCTAAACCTTCCGGTGAGCTGAGAGGC